GCTTGCCCCTCTTTTCATGATGTCATAAATGGTTCTGCTATTTCGATACGGCTGCCTATCGTACGTTGCCGAAGATGGATGTGGCATCGCGACGGTGGATTCAAGTAGTGATTGTGACACAGGAAGCGAAATCTGTTGGAAGCTAGAACGTGCACGCTACACCACGAGCTTTCGATTACACAGGGCATAGCCGCGTGAAGCGGGCCGCTAAACACCTCGTTTGAACCCTTGGGACGTTGAGCACTGGTGGTGCCGGGAATCCGTAACACTAACAGATCTACGCCGCCCGAGCTAGAGGATCTTGGAAGAGTTAGTCGACGATCTTTGTGTAGAACATCTCACGCTTACGAAGGAGGTTCGGTGGGGCGATTGGAACCTTCGCGTGCGACATCCGCCGCGGGTTCAACTTGAGTTCTATTCTAGGTTACAATTCCTCTGGCAGTTTCGATGAGTACGACTTCATAACCTGGCTTATGGTCTCACAAAATCATGCTCTACAAATTATTTGATACAGGCAAAGTGGTAGCCTACAGTCGTGGGAGCACGAGCTTTAAGCATCTACCCCGATGCTAGATGGGTGCAGCTATAGGCGCATGGTAAAGTTGACAAGACAGTTGAGTCGCATGTATGTAGCATTGATAGCAAACGCGAGGGTAAGTGATCATAGTTCCCTCTTTCAAGGTAACTTTACAGTATCGTGTAAGGCGGAAGTAAGATTCTAGCCGGAGAGAGTGTATAGAGGAGATTTCAAGAATCAAGATAGAAATCACAACTTTGAGTAAGTCAACTTGCCTCATACAAACAAGATGGTATACGGCCAATCCACTTACGATGTACGAGTCCCTTTGTATAACTACTGCAGGTCTTTTTAGGACTTTACTGAATGTCCCCAAATCTTTAGTCAGTCTTTTGTAGTGCATTTTGAACTCTTAGTTCTTCGATGTTAGCGTTACGGACGAGGAACGTCGCATGGTGGGAGTGTTGCCAGATCTGCTTCCTGTTGCAAAGATCCTGCTATATCATGTGCATCGCCTTCTAATTGATACTGGAATCCCTTCAGGTCTCTTGTGTTGTTGGTCTACTTTTCTCGGACCATAATCTGATCTTTCCAGTCATAGACAAATTACGTTTTGATGGGAAAGGATAGCCCGGTCCGATGGTCATAACAATCTTGTTGACGATTGGTATCTAATGAATGGAAGAAAAGGCTCAGAAACACACACGCTGGAAACGCTGTACATCCTCGCCTGGTGCTACTCTATGCAATCCAGTACCAGATCTTCTGCCAGACGTTCTTCGGTACAGGCGCACCAGAGATATCGTCCTTGCACAGCTCATTCATCTCCCGCACACCAGTCGTAACATCAATGTTCTCAACCTTGATCGCGAAGGCGGTTCTGAAGTAGATCTTGTGGCCGGCGTAAAGAACGAAGAAAATGGGGATAGTGATATAGGCGGCCAAGAAATCGGATACAGACCAGTTGGCTGGCACAAAGACTTGGAATCCGTTCGTGAGGGTTAGGAGCGAGACAACACCAAGGATAAAGTATGTGAGATATGGCTGGAATGGCGTACGGTAAGGAAGCGACTCGAGCAAGTTGTTGAATATCAAGGCCTTGCGGAAGCGGATATAGGTGATCATAACAACAATCCAGGCGATGAAACCGGAGATTGTGGAGATGTTTGAGAACCACAGGAAGACTTGCGCACCAGTATTGGAGACGTTAAGATAAGCAAGAAGACCTATGGCCCAAGTAGCCAGGACAGCCACGTATGGCACTCCTTTCTTGCTTGTCCTGCCGAAGACCTTTGGCGCTTCTCCGTTGAGAGCCATACCGTACAAAACACGGGATCCAGAGAACAGGAAAGCGTTTCCGGCAGACCAGGCTGATGTCAAGACAGCCGCGTTAACAACGTGGTTCAGGCCCTGGATGCCTGCTCGTTGGATACCAATAACGAAGGGTGAGGCCGAAGCGTTGGAGCTACCGCTGAGGAGACGGTCATCATCTGATGGAACGATGACTCCGATGATGAAGCTTCCCAAACCGTAGAAGATGGCCAGACGGTAAACAAAGCGGCCAGCAGCCTTGGGGATGTTACGGCGAGGGGCGATGGTCTCTCCTGCAGCAAGTGCAATCAGTTCAGGCGATGTGATGAAGGCAAAACCAGCGCGAACGAAAGCAGTCCAGTATGCCAGGAAACGACCGGAATTCCCTTCCACTATATATGGTTTGAAAGCACCCGGGTTGTTCCAATATCTGAATCCAAGTCGGCCTTGATCATTAGGACTACCACCTAACATGATAACAAAGCCCAGAATTACCAGGCCTATAATGGTGATGAACTTGATGGAGGCAAACCAGAACTCTGCTTCTCCGAAAACCTCGACTGCGACAATGTTAAGGAACAAAACCACCACAAGAAAGATGGTGATCCAGACAGCGTTGTGAACAGGCGTCTCCCAATACTCCAGAAGGATGGCTCCAGCTGTGGCTTCGGCAGCAACGAGAATGGCATATGCATACCAGTAGTTCCATCCGGCGGCAAATGCTAGACTAGGGTCTACAAATCGCTTAATGAAATACGGGATGGTAATACCACGCATCGGAAGCAGGGTAACGATTTCGGCCAAGTTGTTCATGACATTGTAGACGACTGCAGAAGTGAAGACACGAAGTTAGTGGATTTCTCACATGCATTTCGTACAGGCACAACCTACCAAGCATCATACTGAGATAGGCCATGAAGAGTGGAGCAGGACCGACTAGAGCAAGAATAGATCCAGATCCGATGAACAGGCCAGTTCCGATAGCACCGCCTAGCGCGCTGGTGGAGTGTCAGCATGCGGTTTAGCGACGTCAAAGAATACGGACTTACAGGAACTGGATGTGTCGACTCTTCAAACCACGGTGTGTATCTCCTCCTCGTCCAGTCTCACCTCCAACAGTAGCAGCGCCGTGGACGAATGGCTCCTCGAAGCCAACTTGATTCTCCTCGTAGCCATACGGCACAGCCTCAGGCTTTTCGTCAGCCATGTGGTGGTTCGGCATGATGCCCAGGTAAATTGCGAGATGATGGAGACTTGGTTTGTGCCGGTACCAATCTTGCTGATCCCAACACGGGGATGTCAGCCGGTTATATAGAGAGCAATGTCAAAGACGGGTGAAGGATGCGTCGGCTATGATAGCAGATTTTTCAAATGTGGTGTATGGCCCGGCGCACGACGAGGTATACTCCACGTTTGGAATGGTTCCGATGTGGTACCCGTGGACTGCTGCTGGCTCGGTGGCCAAGTCTTGTCCATGGTATGGGACGATCAGCCCAGACCCTTGTCAGAACCATGAGCAGTGGGGAGTCTGGGGAACCAATTATCGTTAGGTAATGGCAAACTACCGCGTGAAAAGGCGGGGAAAATCGCCTCTTGTGCTGTGGTGGTTGCAACACAGTGCTTAACTTGCCTGATGACGTTCGCCCTGCACGTCGCGCATTCCTTCGGTTTTACTCCCGTGCGCCATGGGCACTGTTCATCTTTTGGTGTTTGGAGAGTTAAATGGGGGCGGGCCGGTGTACGGAGTGAGGGTTTTTGGAACTGAGCCGACAAAAGCCGCAAATCGTAGGGATGAGGCTCAATTCAGGCACGCCCAGAGCTTAGACAAGCTTCTGGAAATACGACTAGAAGTCTTAGCGCACAAAATACCCGCCGATGGTTTGCGAAATGGGTCTGGGTAGCTATGGAGTTCACCACGAGGTGGATGGAGACAGACGATTTACTGCAAAATCCGGGGATCGTGGGGATGGCGGTTCGTGCTTCATTGAGCTGTGGATTTTGTATATCCACAGGACAAGCTGACAAAACTACCAAACCAAGACTGCGTCTGCCGTGAAGAAGCATGCACAGTAGAACGAGACATTGCAGGTCGCTTAGAAAATTTTCACCTTGGGCGTACAGTACGATCAGGCCTGCGTCGTTATCACTGCACCTGATACTCTTATCTTCAGCTTTGGCACCGCAGAGATTTAAAAACGTAACACTTTCATCCAGAGAGGATTCCGGGGGCTTGGACGTCGCTTGGAGGATTATCTGTTGCGGGTCTTCTGGTGGGTACATCAAATCTTAGGCTTATGCAACCATGGCGCGACCCACTGTCATACTAGACATCAGTCTAGCAGCTTTAGTTAGGTATCCGGATTCCGGAGTAGAGGAACTATCCTTCGCGCTAAATTCCCAGTGCCGGACGAACCTTCACCACCATTCGGTATTACATGATCGCAACTTCAGTTTTCGTCTTCACTACGTGAAGTGCACCATATGGATATCATTGTGTCGCAAAAGACAAGCTTCGAAGCCAGACATACAAGGTCCGTTGCCTAGGACGTACCGCAACTCATGAGCATTCGGCCCTGCAACGTTGTTCGTGTTGGTATCCCCTACCAATACTCGAGAAAACTAAGCTGTCAACATCGGGTCATGTCAGCCTAACAACGCTACGCGGCCGTTCGTTCCCAATCAAGATTGTTGGTTCTGTAGCCTCGCGCACATAAAAGGAAATGTCTCGTGATGCTGGCCCTTCTACCTGTGTGTGCTTTCCTTCGAAAGCACCAAGACGTTGCGCGTACCTCTTGAGTCGGCACTCCTCGGACATAAGGTAGCTCTGGGGTAATCGATCCCTTGGAAATCACGCCAACTCGAGCTCTGTGCCTATTCATGCAAGCTACAGTAATCTGCCAAATTCTCCCCCTTCAATCCTGTCTCGCCAGACTTGTTGTTTTATTCGCATTGTTGTCTTGCGTGTGTTGAAGCTTCGGCAAAGAGCTTGGAAGAAGGAACAACCCCTCACCAAGCTTTTGTCCGCGGCAAGAGGCGAAGGCGCGCGTCATGACACCAGACGCAGCCGCCGAAAACTTCATCTATCCCAGCCATTTGTTCACGCACTCCTAACTTCCGGGCAACTATCAACTCTGATCACCGGTGTAGAGATATTGGTCGATTAGTACACGTCATGATTCCGGAAATACTGATCGATAAGGTGCTAGATAAAGCGCGAGAGACTGCGTCGCATAGCTGGGAGTATGGAACGGTGTTCGAAGCAATCCTTGAATACAGAAGTCGTCAATTTACCGTTTTCCATGACCCATTTCCAGGCGGTGAGATACCAGTGTTGAGGGTCGAGGATGTAGAAGCACTGCAATATGTGAAACCGTTCATACGTACTGACAGCCAGAGACTGTGTGAAGGAAATGGTATGTCCTACGGTTTCAATACTTACTAGGCACATTATAAAGACCGGGCGTATGCTAACAGCAAGTACTAGGCTCATCGTCCGATCCGACATCCCTCTGCATCCCTACTCTACTCCTTTCCAGATCAGTAACCCTCCCCGTGCCTGATAACCTATATCTCTCCGCAGTAAGCCGTCAACTGCACGACCTGCTTTCGACTACGCCGAGATTCTCCAATGACGCGATATCACACCGCGATGCGTACCCTTCCTTGTGGGCCGACTTTATCTATATGGTGCCACCGGCCCTCGCCTATAACGGCACGTTCACAGCAGATATAGACATGGTGAAGGAGAGTGTCCGCCAATGTGAGCTATACCGCGAAGTTCTCGGTACGCGAAAGGGATATTGGCAACACATAGCCAATGATGCGGGCGTACGCAATGTGAAGAGTGACGGTGGTGCATGGTGTACAAGTAATGCCTGGGCCGCAGCTGGAATGGCAAGGGTACTGGCCACCTTACGGAAATCTCAATATGTGTCTGAAACCGAGGAAGAGCAGAATGTCTTACTGCAGATGACCAAAGGAATTCTCGATGGCGCCATGGAAGCTGATACCGATACAATGGGCTTGCTGCGCAACTATCTCGATGATGAGACCTGGTTTGCAGAGGTCGCTGGCACAGCGTTGATGGCTGCTACAGCTTTTAGAATGGCCGTCCTTGAGCCTGGCCTTTTCGGAAAACGGTATACGGATTGGGCAATAACGAAGCTAGAAGCTGTTAGCCGTCATATAGACGAAGAGACTGGTATTGTAGCACCGGTTGTCAATTCTCTCAATGAAGGTCAGAGGACGCCACTGGAAGGCGTCAACCCTGAGGGACAGGCTTTCGTCGTGTTACTGTATGCTGCATGGAGAGATTGGAATATCGCAACCGGCGCTGCACCAAATCTGGCTGTGGCCTCAGAAAGCCTTTGTATACAGTAGATTTTCAAGCCAATCTGTTAGAATGTCCGTACGTGAACCGAGTTAGAACTAAAAGACTGGACCTCGAAATGCCTGCACTTCGATACAGTCTTGTGACAATACCGATCTTGTTTAAGTGCACGTACCTGCATCATATCACATACGATGTCACCAGGTCGATTGCCCTGAATGGTACGTACCTTCAGCATCTCCTCAGCTAGAACACACTCGACCTCATTCTCCCCTTATGAAATTCGCACTTTTCTATGCATGTGTTCCAAATTGTAATACAACTAACGCGCGAAGACAGCGTAAACAGATTATAGGCAGCGCCTGATAGTCGCGCCGTAGTTCGCGCCGCGCGTTGTACCTCGGCAAATGTAACTCCTCACGCCAGTCATGACTCTCCGAATTGCAGCGTGTTTTACGCCTCGGTCGCGTAGTATATGATCATGGCTAGAAGGTGCTTTGGGTAGCCAGAGTATCGACACGTTTGCCTTGCAGTCCGTCTCCTACATCGATATGCCGTCCTCCAACATCCCCGTGATCATCGGCGTTGGCGACATCAAGAACCGCTCAACTGCCGTCACGGACGCGAAAGAGCCCGCAACATTGATGCTTGAAGCCATTCAAAAGGCCATCAGCGACACTTCGTCTACTTCGAATACCGATCTCCAGTCAGCGATCGACAGCGTCGATGTCGTCAAGACATGGACTTGGCCATACCCGGATCTGCCAGGGCTTCTGGCAGAGAAGCTGGGGATTGAACAGAAACTAAAGTGGAAAAGATATTCTGAGCATGGAGGTGACAAGCCAGGGAAGCTCCTCGACGAAGCGGCGAAAAGGATTGCGAAAGGCGAATGTAAAGTCGCGATTGTAACTGGGGGTGAGGCGTTAGCTTCGTGTACGTGCCAATTTACTTTTCTTTCTCTCCACCATCACTAACTGTACCCAGTATCAGCATGCGCAGCTGCAAAGAAGCTTCCTCCGCCAGGCTGGACAGCGCCGTCTGAAGCCGTAGACTCGGTCTTCACTCCAACAGGCCGCGACCTAGGAAATAGTGCAGTGTCCTCTCTTTGGCAAACACTCTCCTCTACTGACTCTTGCGAAGACCTTGGCGCTATTCATAGGATTGGTGCACCAATACATGTTTATCCACTTTACGAGAACGCATTCCGTGCGCATCGCGGCCAGACACCAAAGGCAAACCACCAAGAGAGCGCAAAGTTGTATGCCGAGTTTTCCGAAGTTGCGAAGAATAATGAATATGCATGGAATTACGGAAGTTCAAGTAGTGAAGAAGAGATTGGGACGGTTGGGAAAAGGAACAGAATGATATGTCATCCTTGTACGCCATCCTTCTTTCTACTCTGGGAATGACCGCTTACATCAGATCCGTGCAGATCCCCTGCTTATGAATGCTTTCAACACGGTCAACCTCGCCTCTGCCATTATTCTTACTTCAACTTCTTTCGCCAAAGAACTAGGGGTATCAGAGTCAAAATGGATATATCCACTTGGTGGCGCAGGAACGAAGGATGCGGACGAGTTCTGGAAAAGACCGAACTTCTACTCCTCGCCTAGCATTGCGCGTTCTATTGATGCAAGCTTGAAGGTTTCTGGCGTAAGAAAGGAAGAGATGGATATCGTTGACATCTACTCGTGTTTTCCGATCGTTCCTAAAATTGCCGCGCAGCATCTAGGGCTACCTGTTGTTGGTGGTGACAAACCATTGACGATACTTGGCGGTCTGACGTCGTTTGGTGGAGCTGGCAACAACTATTCAATGCACGCGCTCACTGAGATGACAAGACAGCTAAGAGACGGTAAAGGCCGCAGGGGACTGGTGCTCTGCAATGGCGGTGTTCTGAGCTATCAGTACGTCGTGATCTTATCGAAAGAGCCCAGGAAAGAAGGAGCTTATCCCACAGAGAACCCGCTTCCACCACAGATCACCGATGTTCCTGCGCCAGAGCTTGCCTCTAATGCAGAGGGTGAGGCTGTCGTCGAGACGTATACCGTAGAGTTCAATCGCGACGGCAGTCCGCTTCGAGGCCACATTATCGGTCGCTTGAAGAACAGTAACAAACGCTTCCTTGCGAATCATGGAGACGATACCACAATGCTACAGATGTCTAGCGGGGCAGGAGAAGTTGTTGGTAAAAGTGGATGGGTGTGGCAAGATCCGGAAAAGAAAGGAAGGTCGCTCTTTGCATTCGCAAAACCAGCAAAGCTGTAACAACCTACCAATACTCGAGCCGAACAGAGGCTGTGATCTAATTCATTAATCGCGGGCTACTGGTATTTGTAAATTGAAGCCTTTCTAGGCCATGAGACGCCCACCCCCAAATCTGCTCCATCCCTTCGGCTACTTGTTGAGCCCGAATCCCTCCAATAATGCACTTGGGATCTTTATCACAGCTTGTACACGCTTTGTGCCTCCACCATTGCGGCTCACCACCTGATCACTTGAAAGCTTCTATAGAGCTATCCTAGGCTTACACATCTGGATTTTGGGGTAACTTTGGTGTAGTGTCTACCACCTGCTCACGCCATGTTCTCGGTTAAGTTGCCGGTCAGTAAGGATAGCAGGGAGATGGAAAAGTAAGATCGGAGTGGTGTTGAAGTGACTATTGCCATGACAGAATGTCTCGAGGATATTAGGACGGTTATTGAAAGGAAGGAGGTTGAATTTGAGGTATACTGGTAATTCAGGCATTCTTCATGAGCGTAGGACAATAGAAGGTTATTGCGAACTGATCATACTGGATACATCTGCTTACCCTAAGAGCTACTGTTACCTCATAATCAGTATGTACTCCAAAGCCTAAAGACGATCTACGAGGGAAGGCTGTTGTCAATACTGCAAGAATGACTGGCAGCCAAATTGGTGCAGAGTAAAAGCCCGATCATGGGATTTCGCGGGGTATGATGGCGGTTCTCGTAGATTCGTTTTTGAGTATGACAGCCAGTGAACTGTTGGTGTAGAAATCAAATCCAAGGGCAGCTCGTATTGCGTGCCAAGTACATAATGATCCAACGTACGAACCAATCGTCGTCTTTACAAGAGAATCAATGGATTCTGACCATCAGGTGCTATCAAATCAATAAATCTTTCAACGCTTGCGTCCCATATATATGTAATTGTTTGTCGTCTGTGTATACCACCATCAAAGTCGCTAGAAAGTCATATGTGCAACGATTTCGCGAAACCAGGCGCAAAGCTGAGATATTGCTAGATAAAACCCTGGGAGGATACAATTGTAGCACACTTAGCTTGATACAATCATGCGAACTACCTAAGAATGTAAAGTCCCTACAAGCCACTAAGCACGCTCTGCACCCCGACAGTTCCAACGTCGTCTCTTTTAGCAATGAAACCCTTCAATTCCTGCGCATCTTGTCCACCCGCAGCCCTAAGCCTATCCCTCAGCGCCTCAGGTCCAATAATGAATAGCGTACTGACATCCGTCAGAACATCCATCGCTCCAGGCTCCAGCTCGTCACCTGTGGGCCATCCTCTCACTAGCTCAACATAGCGGTTCATGTCCTTGGAAACACTAAGACCGCCGACTTGTGAAATGGAAAATTTCAGTAGGTGTGCCAGAACGAGGGACCGCAAACCGCGAGCAAGCTCAGCGAGGAACAAGGAGAGGTTGCGACCAGAGAGCGCGGCAGAAGCTTGTGAGGCAACACGAGTTAAGAATGCGGAGACGTCGCGGCAGGCTTGCGTTTCACTTGTTACCATAAGGTCTTCTTCCTTGGGTCGGAAATCGGTCTTCTTTTGTTGAGATAGACATCTGCTCACCCAATTGAGCGATGCTGTCAATGTGAGATTGAGTATGTTGGACAGTTTCGATTCAAGAGTCGACGTTGTGTTGTTGGTAGACTTTTCGATCTCCCGACGAATAGTCAGATTGGGTGTACATAGAGGGAGGATAATGGTTGTCGTGGTTTGTTGGAGAAGATGTAGGATTGTGGTAATGGCGTGTAGAGATGGGAGGTGGGTGAGATCAGGGGGTGTCTTGGAGTTCTCCTGCGAAACGGCATGATCTTGTGCGCTGCATTCGTGTTAGTTGTGTACTCGTCTGAGGAATACATGACTTACGCGTCCAACGCCGTCTCCAAGTAGATTTCGCCCATCTGTCGTAGCAGAAGATTAAGCAGTATCTGCACATCCTTTGGTGTCTCATTACCAGGCGACAGCTCGAGTCCACGTCCGACACCTTCTGCCAGCCACTTGAGCATACGCTTGGCGACTGGTAGCGATAGCTTGCCATCCTCATCTGTCACTTCAATATCCTTCTTCTCCTGCTGATCTTCCTTCAAACCAGCAATGCGGAGCAAAGTTGCCTTCTGACTAGCGGGCAATTCTGTGTTCTCCAAGCGCTCCATGTACTTGTCACGAGCGGATGCAGCCATCTCCTTACCTCGCTGAGCCAGCGATCCAAAGTACGATGTGGGCATCTTGCTGCGCCGCGAGTGGTAGATGGTGAATTTGAGTAGTAGCGAAGAGTATAGTTCCTCCAAGTTCTTCTTTTCTCGTTCAATATACTTCTCTCCAATGAAGTAAGACGAGAAAAGCTCCTCCAACTGCTGATCAAGTGTAGCAGCCACCGCAGATGTAGCAGGCTCTGGGTGCTCTGTCAACCCATGTGATTTTAGGTCATCTACCAATTGTGTGATATAGCTCCTAGAAGCTTGCAACGAGCGCAGAAAGGCGAGTGATGATAGCTCTCCTGCTTTGTCAAGCACCATCTCAAGCCGACTTTGTATTGACTGCTGGAAGATGCGCTCCAGGAACTTGATCAGCACCTCCTCGTAGTAAGGGAAGGCTCGTTTTATAATTGCAGATTCATCCTGGACGACGATCTTGACTTCATCAATGAGAGATTGCAGCGTAGGCTCAACACCCGGTGGTTCCGCATCAGGATCTTGGAGGCGATCCCAAGTTTCCACATCCGTCGCCAACTCTTCTCCATTTAACTGCATGCGGTCAATGAAGAAAGAATGCTGGTTGACATAGGTTCCGATGACACTAGCCCCGTCGTTGAAGCCCTTCAGCGCGATGGCACAGTCGCGCATGCCAGGGTAGTTTGGACGCGCGTAGCATTCCTGAAACTTGCTGAGGAGATCCTGCTCAAGATTCTCCAAGAACTTCTCAATGACCTCCTTTGTGTTGTGTCTTGACTGATGTACCGTTCTCCTCTTCATGCCATTCGGTGCGTCTCCGTTGACTCGCTGGCTGCCCTCGGGGTCGAGACGTGTACTGATGCGCAGCAGCTGGCGTGCAATCTCGGCGCATCGTACTATGTCGCCGTTCTTCCGTTGGTCCTCGAGGATCATGAGTTCGCCGCGTTCGCTGACTTCTTGCCAGCATTCAATCAAAAACTTTGCGTCCAGGGCTCTCTTTCGTTGGCGATCGAGCTCTTCGAGTCGCTCTCCGATGCGCATGGCGACGTTGCCTCCAGTGTCTGACCCTCCCTCATCACTACCATTGAGCGAACTGTCTAGCCGTTGGAACCTGTCCATGGCCGCCTCCAGTCTCCTTCCTAGCGACTCGACATTCTGGTTGTGTTGTAGCTCTGCTCGGCGTACAGCTGTTGACAGCTCAGACTCCTTCTCTTCCAGGTCCTCGGAGAGACTGTTGAGTCGTGTCAGGGCATGTTCGAACGTGCGGATGAGTGGTTTCGGGTCGAATGTCTGCTGGCCACCGGCGCCGCCAGATCTTCGAGTTGCAGGTACGGCGATCTGGGAGAGGTCTTCGATGAAGTCTTTTACTAGGAAATCTTTGCTCTGCGGGAGTCAATGTGAGAACAACCCTGAACTTGTACGGCTGCTTACAGTGAACTTCTCTAGGGTGAACTGGGGTGCGCGTATCGATGTCCTCGACGTCTGGTGAGTGAGTACCGACGAGCCATCGGAGCTGATGCGCTGCATCGTTACAGGAGATTGGAGGGAATCCGCCTTGGAGGTTGAGTACTACTGCAGTATTGTATTACGGGCGTCTATCGCAGCTACCCAGCGGGCCAATGCCGCCCCGAATGCCCTGGAGCTGGTGTTTTAGATTGGCGCAAAGCATTAAGCTGCCAGGTGTTGCTAGCGTATGTTGTGTTCTCACTTGCGCATGGCACAGAATAGATATTTCTTGTGGCAGGTGTATCTGCACGTCGTGATCTGGCTAGCAACATGCCCAAGTCGCGAATGTGGCTTGTCACACTCCACGCCTCGGTCCCTGGTCCGCAGTCGCAGCAGCTCCAGCCGAACGGACAACGGGTGACCTCATGCACTATGATGCCACCAATCCTGTCGTGGCAGGACGTATACAAAGATCCAAAACAATGAGCTCGAGTTTCTACAGCCTCATTGTACTTGCGACAGCTTCCGCGTAATGACGCCTCAGCGCATGGCGGAGCAGGCAGCTACGCGTCTATACTTGGCTTGCGCTCGGCAGGAACGGCCGCCACACGTACCTCGTATGCACCAGCCTCACTGGGATATTTCATCATCTTACGTCTGCCAGACATGGCCAGCTAACGCGCGCATTATCCCTCTCTTTCCCTTGACTTTTGACTGCCTTGTTGTCCATACTTAGACATCGGCTGCCCAGCTCATTTTGTCGCTCAATACCCTCACACCGCCCACAATGGCTACCACAGGCCTGACTCCCAAGCAAGAAGCCGCTTTTAGGCGAAGCAAGCAACTCTCGGTCGAGCAACGCGAAGAACTCCTGAAGCCGTTTCTTCCCTCTGAGCCTTCTGATAGCGAGAAGGAGGCGCAGAGGAAGAAGGCACTCCGCGACCGCCGCCAGCGCGCAGTCCAACAGAGCCGCAAGCCTCTCGTAGGCCCCATCAAGACCTTCCTCCACCTCGCTATCTACCACGTCGTTGCGCTCCTGTTCAGCGTCTTCTTCCGTTTCCGCCGCGCCTACCGACTGGTGAGGGGGAAGGTTGTCTCTCTGCTCAAGTACCATCACCGCACGCCAGAGTTCATAGCCCACGATGTCAAGGACCTGGAAAAGCTGCCCAAACACCTCAGTGTAATAGTGGACTACCAGGAAGACGACGGAAGTCAGGGTACAGCCGGGCTGGAAGGACTAGTAAACGATGTCTGTGAGATAGCAGCCTGGGCAGCGAGTGCCGGCATACCGTTTCTGAGTGTCTATGAGCGGACGGGTAAGTCCACCATCTTTTTGTAAAACAGAACACGGTAACGTAGGGCTCTGGCTAATGATATCAA